TGCGCTGGTATCAAACTAAAATTACACTCTCGCACGGCACGGGGTGGAGGGGGAGGAAAGGGAAGAAGTTCAGAGCGCTCGTCGAAGCCGCCCGCCGGAAAATTCCGGACCGTCGAACGCGAAGAATGGGAATTCCCATCGAGGCAGCAACGGGAGGTAGGATCTCGAGATGGGAGGCATAACCTGCCGCTGCATTTCTCGCCGTTCGTTGTTCCGCGGAACAACGCGAAATCCTCGCAACGTGATTGCGGGCGGTATCGTCAGGATTCATTCGCCGGGGAACAGGAATTTTTCGGGTTTTATCATTGTTTCGTGTGTATGCGTGTGGAAACTAACACTATCGCGCTATATTAAAAGTCAGTAAATATGGAGAACATTTCTCTATGTGTGTGTGATAGTAATAATACTAATTGATATTTATCTTTTGTTTCCAAATCTCTTTAAACATTGAGGATAAAAAGAGATAAAAATCATTGAAAGATGTAGATGGTAGCTACATCAGCATTGCATAAAATTTGCATACGTAAACTATGACAATGTGTATATATTCAAAAATAATAGAAACGGTATATGGTGATTTTTCAAAAGTTAAAATTCATCTTTTTCTATCAAAAGTTCAACAACTTGTGAGCGTTGTTGTACATACTGCTGCAAATACAATGAAATATACAATTACAAGTTACATAAAATGTTCCGTAATTTAAAATGTTAAAAAATGAAACTTTTTCGCAATTTTTTTATATGTTATGTGAACTAGCGTTGTATGCAAATTAAAATGCTAAATTAAAGTACTGAACTTTTCTGTGTGTGTACCACACGTTTCTTTTAAACACCGAATAATGTTTACTGTATTTAAAAAATTACAATGTTATCGTATTTTTTTTTTTTTTTGCAAAACTAACAAATATTCTTCTCCCGCTGCATGAGCAACAGCTATACCTGCACGAGACTAGACCCTTTAAACGCGGTAACCATTATCTACTGAAATTATTTTGTACGATGCACGCGAGCGGCCGAATTTTCATGCGCAAGTTAAATATTAGCGTCGTCGTTTTAGGTTCGCACACACGAGAGTGATTTATAGCTCAGGACATGAGATAATTGAGACTGTAGAAGGAACGTCAGTGTGCCTTCGCTCGTGGCGAGGCTCCTCTTTTACCTCCTCATCGTCATCTATATTCACTATCCAGTTTAGAGCGTGCTTTTCCCCCCTTCTCCCCCTCCCCTCGTAGTCTAATGTCTTAATCTTTCGTGTGTGAAGAATTGGGCCGGGCCAAATGAAATTTGCATAGTCGTTACCAGCCCGCCTTTACCGAAGGATAGTTCCTTAGATCCGCCCCAAGCTCTTTTGGCTCTCTCGGAAAAGAAGACTGGTACCATGATCCGTTTGATTGCTTAGGATAACATTCGTCTCGTCGCTGATCCGAATCTTCAATGAGGGGAATTTAAAGAGCACATTTTCGTGTATGTCATAAAAGGATACACGTATATAGATATATACGTAAGAATATATATATAATTATACATAATAAATATAATTATAATATATTTTTATCCTAGATATATTTCAATCTTCGATAAATCGTGCTCTTAAAGAGCTTCTACTTTTTAATTTTTTCTTCCTTCTTTATATTTCAAAACTGTAATAAATATTTGTCATTCAATCGAATTGATCGAATTTAAGTTGCGACGAAAATACGTGTCGCTTTACAACAATGGGCGTCGTACTCTACGATTTTCCAAGTAAATAAATTATGCATGTGGCGAGCGCGCCAAACGTTTCTGGCTTTCCAAGTTATATATCCAATACGATAACGCGGATAAAGGATGTCAGGGGTGTCTTCGATCGATCTTTAATAAGCGTTTCGTTTCGCGGATAACGGATTCAAGATATATCTATACGAGGGGAGGCGCGGGGGGTTTCGCATGGTAAAGGAGGATGTAGGAATAACGTAGAACGCGTTGCCTAGGTCGGGAGGTTTAGAAGCTACTACGGAGCCGATAAGGGTTTGCCAGGCATGCCCGTTAACGACTATGTAAATTGACGGGTCTATTTATTCTAACCGTCGGTATCGAAAGCGCGCTAAATGAAGAAATCAGAGGCCGGTAGTACGAACCGTCGCTTCAAGATACGCTCGATCAATTACGTCGATATATTAAATTAAAGTACAATTATTTCTCAATAAGCGTTTGTTTCTCTGCAATTGAAGGAAATCGGATCTTCCGATTTTTGTATATGTTTTGTCTTCCTTCTGTACATTATCTCGTCGCTACATTCCCCGTTTCATCGTTGATCTCGATATCTCACGTTGAACCGAATCGCAAATATAAATTTAGTGCCGACAAAATAGCTTTTTCGATAGGTACTCGATAAGAGAAGAGGAGAGAAGAGAGAGAGAAAGAGAAAGAGAGAATGAGAGAGAAAGAGAGAGAGAGACAGTGTGGGCTATCATAACGTCCTGTCCAACCATTTTATTGCAATGCTAAAGTAGGTATTGATCCGAATCCAGGAGAATCACGAACTAAGGTGCTCGACGACCATCGATCCGTCGTAGGGGGGGAGGACGAGATGAAGGGAGGAAGAGGTGGAGGGTAATCATTTTCCGTGTCCTCCTGCTCCTCCTCCTCTTCCGTCGGTTATCCGAATTGGGTTCGAGGGGGTCTCGTCGGAAAGTTGGGGACTAGGAGAGGACACAAACACCTCCGTTCGGGCAACGAAGAAGAGAAGGGTACAGTAAGGCCTCGGTTGTGAGAAGAGGCGAAGGAGATTGAAGGAGGAAGAAGATAGGGAAAGAGAGACAACATTCCCTCGTCTCTTATATTCTCTCTCTCTCTCTCTTTCTCTCTCTTTTCTGTCTCTTCCTCCCGCTCTTGAACGAGAGGATGCATGAGAGACTGCTCCAGACCGTGGAGAGGAGAGAGGGTGCTGCCTTAGGGTTCATTATTCAGGGCTATTGATTTCCATCCAACTCCTACCATCAGCCCACCCAACGCCACCGGCGACCGTGAGCGAGGGAGAAAGAGGGATTGAGCGATGGAGATAGAACGAGAACGAGATTGACGGGTGGCTGTTCTCTCTCGCGAGCTTCCTATCTCTCCTTCTTTCTTTTCTTTAGACCCTCAACATTTCTGCTTCCAGCATGCTGCATCAATCTACATACTGACTGACATCTGTTTAAACCGAGCTGCTCGACCATGACTAAGCCGCGTCTTATAATACCGATCGTTATTTACGACGTTCGAATTTAATCCGTTTATATTGACATATATATATATTACCTTATAGTATAGTCATAAATCGCTTATCGAAAATGTTTAAAAACACATAGCGAGAATTCAACTTTATACCATAAATATAGATGTCAAAAGAGATACGTATCCCGACGTTCGAAAATAGATTTGTCTTTCCCTCTTTTTCTCTTTCCCTTTCGAAACTGTCTACTTTTGCAAATTCTCGGAGTAGCGTTATCCTTGCCGGTCCTTCATCTAGGATTCGGATTTCTCCGTCGGTTCCTATGGAGTTGACGGAGTTAGGAAGAAACTTCGAAACTTTCCACCCATAACGGCGGTCCGATAGGGCTTCCAAGCTTTCTCTTCGGAATTTCGTGCCTTGGGTTTCCTGTTTGTGGAGGATCAGCTTGAGGATCATGGATAATGCCGCAAGACCAACGGCCAATCGGTTTTATCCCTTTGTTTTCAAATCAGTATGGATAAAATATTGCATCGTCTGATTAACCAAGTTCGTGCTTTATCGTTCCAATGTGATATATGTTATTAAATCTTTTCATTACGTATTTCATTCGTAATATATATGCGGTCATATTAACATCACGACATAACAACACGACATGGAATACATTTGCAATGACTAATTGTTAATTACTAATTGTTAAAGCGGGCATATCAAAAATTATTGTGCAATATATTATACAAATGTATTACACAATTGTGTGCAAATTAATTCAGTATTAATATATAAACTATTTTAATAATTTTATCAAATTGTGATTGGACATATAATTTTTATTATATTATTGAATTTCAAACGTTTTCTTTTTCTATCTATGAATTTTATTTATTCATCATTCAACATATCTTTTTTTCTTTCTCTTATTTTTTGTTTAATTAAAAATATTTTAATAATGTATTAATATATTAATAATAATATAATAAAGATTTGATAGCAAGTTCTTATATAATGGCTCGATGTCTGAGCACATCTCATTTCTATTACTTATGCGCATCAGATATAATTATAAATTCATATAGATTGAAGCACATTTGTGATATTATTATATATTGCATATTTTCTTGCATTTCTCAATTGTGTATTATTTTTTTTATGTTATTTAGTAAACCTTGTTACTTTACAAATAATATAACGTTTATATTATTGCTATGTAATTCTTCACAAGAGAGAATTTTTTTATTAAATAATTCTAGCTTATAGTAAATAATGCATACAAATTTATTAATATATAATTTTTCCCATCGTATCTGTTAGGTAGATTAGCTCTGCAGATCGCTAAACGTATCTGATTCTCATGTTTAGATCAGGTAAGTTTGAGAGTTGTAACGTGTACATGCGTTACAATCAATTACTCGTCACGGGTTCCCGTTTTTCCGTCTCGAAATCGATCCAGTATGCGGAAGCAGCACGGGTTTGCTCTCTTTGACTGTGCCCAACGTGACGTAACGTAAAACCCCATTAGGTGTTAGCTCCTCCGTCGACGGTTAAACCGTTACTCGACTGCCGTTCGTAGGTGGAACGAGTCGAGCCGGTGTGGTATTGGTGGGTGGAATATATATAGGCAAAATTGGTAGAGGGAGAAGGAGAGAGAGGAGAGGAGAGAGAGAACACACCGGCGCGCAGGGTTGTACTGGCACTGTGGGTGCCTATAGGGATTGCAGCGCCGCGGGCGCCGGCGCGAAACGGTCGCTCGCAAGACCACCTCCGCGTGGTGGGCTCGTGACGTCAGCTATTCTCAGTGTGCGGAGAGCGACCGCAGTGTACACCATCTCCACGTTTTGGCAAAGGAGACGGCATCGAGTGCACGAGTTAAATCGCCGTTCGCACGACGCACGACGAACGATCAGCTGGATCACGCAGCGCGTCGTGCCCCCTTCTTCTCTTTCCCCTTTACTCCCTTCGCCCTGTCGTCGCTCACCCCGTTCGTCGCTCCGTAATCCCGGACGGATTACAAACGGATTTTTGTCAGTGGGGAAAGGACGCGTCGTTGTCGCCGTCATTCAGCTTTCGCGAGTTCTCCTTCCCGCGTCCGCTCGTCGCTCCGCTACGCTTCCGAAGTGACGCTGTTTCCTCTCCTTGATGTGTACGACGACGACGACGAGGCGGAGGACGGTCGGTAGTCACGCGGTCGACGCTCTCGCCGGCGGTATCAGCGTTTCGGAGTCGAGTAACACCTAGCACGAGGAGCGTTCACTGCGGGGACGCCGCGGGTGACGAGATTCTCGGAACGACGATCCTCCCCCCCGCGTATCGATGGTGATGTTGCTAACGTTATCGCTCGCGTTGGTGTCGAAACGTAACGAGTACTGATCAGGCGCGACGTTGTTCAATTTCGGATTCAGAACGTGAAGCGAGAGCCAGTGTCGTTTCTTCGGGCGGTTTCTTAGGACATCGAGGTTGCCTTTCCATTGTAGTGTCACGCGAATCAATTCGACGCTTTTCGCCAGTCGGTCCAAGCGATCCTCCGAAGTGCGACTTCATCCGAAGACACGTGGAGTCGAATCGGATCGCTCTTAGCTCACGTGGTCGTCGGATGCGTACCGGCGGCGCTCGTGGTTGCGCCACCCTCGCGCATTTAGACTCGTCGTGGGTGATTACGCGGCAATAGGAGGATTCTCCTCGCGCTCATAAGTAGTACGCGGTATTTATGCTGCCCCCGGGCACGCTCGACGTAATCCGTGCGAACGTCAACTGTACTCGGTGAGTGTTTGTTTGTGAGGACTGGCATCGTTTGTGTCGGACGACCACGAATTCCTGTGAATGAGTCGTTCATGTCGCGAATAGAAGGTGAGGGATGACGAATCTCCATCGCGACTCCGTTGAAGGGGACGACGAGGACTCGTGAAGACGACGACGATTCGCGAGCACGATTGTGACTACGAGACCGAGACACGGCGGCTCACTCGTGGCTTGCGATTCTTCGTAGAACTCCAGGGATCCGCAAGCACGCGGAATCAAGCAGGCAGCGTGGAGCGCTCGGCGATTGTGTGGCCGCGCGCCGCGGATCTTTATCTCTATCAACCAGGTATCGAACATTATTGAGAAAAAGTATTTTTTGCACTTTGATTGATGATTTATTATATCTGCGATATGCGCGCGAAACATATCGTTACTTCGCGCGCGTATCTTTTTTTCATTTCCAAAGTTTATAAAATATTTGAAGCGTTTCTCTTTCAAATTTGAGAGCATTATTCCTGAATTGGGACGAAATTACATTGCGTGTCACTATTTGATAATGAGTTTATTACGTGAATAATATATACTTCGAGTGTTGTGGCAAACTTTTTCTAAATTATTTCGTATATATTTATTACTTTTTCTAAATTATTTCGTATATATTTATTACATTACTTATTTTGTATCGGAAGAATTAATTTTAAATCGCGAATTATTGGATTGAAAACGAGACAATTGAATATTATTTTTTTCTCGAGGACAGCTACTTTGCATCGCTCGTTGTATATCTATTTATGAAGGGCGCGCGAGAGATGGAAATGAAAAGGTATAAGTTATTGCGTAGATACTTGACACGATTTATGCTCCGCGGGCTATCCTCGTTTTAATATCCGCCGACTTGCACGAATTTTACATTTTCTACCTCCACAATTTTACATGACGGCGCGAGCCTCGAAAAAAGATGGCGAAGAACTTCTCGCGGTATGTCGGCCCATTCTTCAGTGACTGCAGCTGCGAGCTTTCGCCGCTTCGCGGGTGCATTCTTGCACCGCCGTGAGAGCATATTCCAAGTATGCTCAATAAGATTCATATCCGGTGACAAAGGGTGTGCTATTTTTCCGTAACATTGCATGCTTTGAGCGTTTTTAAGCGAAACGCCTATTTTTTACCAGTCGGGATATTGTTTATAGCGCTAAAGAAATTTATCGCTAATGGTCTAATATCACAAACAAGTATATACGATACTCGCGCAGAAATGCTCCGTTAATAAAAGTATAAGATTTTGGATATTGGAATTCTGATGGCTCACTTACTAATGACATATCAATGGTGAAGTATTCACGCTGCATAACTCTTTAGCCATCAAATTCGTGCTTTGAAAGAAGAGTAGCTGGCGAGCGAACTGGGAAAAGTTTAAAGGTTACGGTTCTATCAGACTGAACGGCGTGGTAAACTATCATCTTCGGCTTTGAAATGTTATTGGCTGGTTGAGGGATTTTTCAATGAGTTATACGCGCGCTGAAAATTGCAGGATCCAAGGAAGGAAACCGTGATAAAAGTCGATTAAACTTCCACGTTTTTTGTCGCGTCGTGGCACTCCGCGCCCAGTGCCACTTGAGTTTTGGTTTTGGCAGGGTCTGAAGAGTGTTTCCCTATATTTGCAATCGAGACAGGTTATAGCCTGACCCGAATCTTAAGCCAGACCACGGTCACGGGATGCCTCGGCGAACAGGCACGTAGTAACCTACACGCCAGGCTGTGCCAGGAGCGTCTTCCTTCCTTCCTCCTTTTTCCTCCCCGTGTTCGCTATATTTCCCTTCTTTCCCGTGGCCCTCGTCTGAAACTTTGCCTTCGGCCGGTTTGCGCTTCGTTCTATGCTTTCGCAAGGATCCACTCGATATAAAAGTAGTCGAATCTAGGTATTGTATGAGGAAAGTTTCAAACAAGTATGAAATAAATATATCAAGCATAAAAATTCTTCGTTCGCTGAAAAATTGTCTCTCTATTAAAATTTGCTCTCTTTTCCGCCACTCCCATAAAGTATTTCCTCGAAGGAGAAAAAAAAACACTTGATTTAAATGAAACGAAACATTGGATCGAGTTTATACTAACTTTTTCTTCGTTAATTCTGCGAAATAGAAGGAAAACAAGTACAATGTTACAATATTTATTTACGAAATATCAGATACTTTATACAGATAAAAAAATATCATTTAATTTACGTTATCTTTCTGTTTACGTTATTCCCTCGATCAAAGTGGTTAAACGATTTTTTTAACGTATAACGTATCTCGCTGCAATACTTGATGTGGTTTTTGATATTCCGGACGCATTTCGGACGCGATGTTGGTAAAGAGTCGCACTTGTTGGCGTCTAGGGACACAGGGACATTGGACGTGGAACATCGAAGAGCCGGTGGAGAGAAGGTAGTGGTAGTGGAGGGCGAGGATCGCACTCGGAGGGACACTGGAAAGCGAAGCGAGTGCGCGGTGGTCAGCCCGGAGGGTCTCTTGGGAGATTTCTGGACCGCAGTCCTAAATCAGGTTTCATTCCCCCGGCGAGTCTCTGGCACCTCAAACCCTTCTCCTCCCTTTCTCTCTCTCTGTCTCTCTTTCTCTCTCAATTTCATCGAACCTGCCTGCGATATACCGAACAAAGCAAACGAGCGACTCGCTCTACAACTCTTTTTTTTACGCTCGGCAATTTTCTTCTACGTATCGTATAGCGTCGAGGGTGAAAGACGGAAAATAATCTGAACTGAGAAAATACTTAAACGCCACCCGAGATGTGCGATTCGACGACTAGATGATTTTATTGCCTCCACGCAATTTTTTTTAGTGGATTGAGAAGAATATTATTCTCACGAACTACACGTCTTCTGTCGTGATGTTATTTCGCGTGTGAATATGTAAAGTCGAGGGAGACTAATCATCGCTGTAACGGGGAGGATGATCGTTCGACCGGGAGATTTGCACGAGGCATATGCATTATCGCAAACGATATCGCAATGGTCCAGGCGCGGGTTATGCACACCGACGCAGTCACACATATAGACAATTCGTAGACACGTGCGCATAAGATAGCGAGCACACGGATCTCGGATACACAGCACGAACGAAGGGAGATAATTTCTTGTGCAAATAACTTTTTCGGTTATATCGATGACTTTGCGGGAGATAGAGATAATCCTCTTTCCGTGTAAATAATATATATCAATTTTTTAATAACCATTAATTTCACGGAATTGTACTTTCTGCATATTATCCAGCTACAATCAAATGATGACGAATTAATTAAATTTTCTTTTGCACGTGAATATCTCGCCGAAAGACAGAGATAGCAATTACCGAAACTCGCCTAACAACGTCGACGTGTGTCAAACTGTTTCGCGTACGCTCTCACAAAGTGCCGGCATATATATTCGCGAGCACGAGCAGGAATCGGGGACCGCCTTTGTATTATTACGGCCGGAACATTACAGAAAGAGATACTCTCGCGCGCTTTCTACGCGCTCCGTTGCTCTGTATGCAACGCGACGGCGGCGACGACCTATGCCGTTACGCCCATAAACATAGATCAAGCTCAACAATGGCCCGCCGGTAAACGTATTGACATTTTATACTTCCCACCAACGCTGACTGGTTGCCTCTGCGCGGTGTGTTACTCAAACTGCGATACCGGGACAAACTGCAGGATATGCTGTCCTCGCCGCGATTCTACGCACGACGAGATGCTAATGGACGAGAGCGATACGGCGGATAGATTTATGAATGGCTGGCGATCGAAGACGCGTCCGAAATGCCGTTAATTTACGGATCCGCGATCACGGAAGTCGGGATAGGAGATGAATTGAAACTGCAACTTCGAAGTAAGATAACTCAACGCATTACTCCTCCTCGGTTTCTCTCCATTCGATCTTTACATGATAATAACAGATTAAATTTGTCAGGAAATATTTAGAGATGTGAAAATGTACAAATCTTGTGGAACACACTTTTCGTGTGTTGCATCTTTGATATAAATAATAATTTGTATATTTAATAATATATATAATGTATGATTAAACGCGCGTGCTCGATTCACTTGCATATAGGCGTGAAAACTTGTGTAATCAATTGGATATGCCAGGCTATTATCTTGCGTAAATGACGTTAAATCAGATTGATGGGCGATAATCTCCGTGCCTCTCGGCACCAGGGAAGATACCTCGCTGAACGGTTGTTAACCTGATTCTAAACCATATGGCTGATATTGGGTTAATATGGTGAAAGTTCTCGGAGAGAACTTCTCATAGAAGTATGTTACGGGAACAGCTACGTCTGAGCGTATAACGCCGCGTTCTACTTAGGAAGAGCGATATTAAAGTAGATAAGGACAGTGTACAGTCGTACATGACGCGCGTTTCAATGCATCATCTCATTTTTATCATTTTTCTTGTAAACTATTTTTTTATTTATACTATGTTGCTTTCGTAGAACTTTTATCATCGCATACACACACACACACACACACACACACACATATATACATACACGCGTGCGTGTGTTTTGAAATATTTTTTTTAACGATATCTCTTTCTCTCTTTCTTATTTTCTCAGAGATTTGACGTTCTTAAAATAATTGAAATATCATTGTCATCTTTCCTATGGATTAAGTTCGCATACAGAAATGCATATTCATTGTATGAATATCATCTTCTTACGTAACTCGAGATTATCACGCAAATGTTACTTGAATGCCAATATGTCGCAAATGTTAGCGCAAGATTGCGCCATTATAAACTCTTTGAACACGGAAGGAGAGGTAAGAGAAGGGTTAAATATTTATCGTAGTCACGCGCGCCGCATTATTCACGCTAGACTTACGGGCATGGTGTTATTTCTTTGGTAAGCTTAATTTAGAAGTAACAAGATTAACGAATGATTATTTGATCACATTAATCGTGTTATTCACGTGTGTGTTACCTAGTTTTATTTTTTCGCTATATTATGTAGCGTGTTTTTTTTAATGAAAGGGATATTTATTTTTATGCAAAACTTTGAGATATCGCGCTCGTTTGCGGCAGCATTATGAAAAACAAGCAGAGATGGAAAGGCGTTCGAACGAAGGGTGCGAGTCTCTTATCCAGACGCAGACACGAGCGCAAGAGCTCTTACACATCAAAAGCAGTTTATACGATTACATGCATGACGCTTTGAATGCGCCTTAATCAAATAAGCCGTACTATTCTCACCTGCAAGAGAAAATGACGGGGAACACTGAAGATGCTGGTAAATCGACCCGCTTTCAAACGTACCGGCTGAAAAATTTTCTCTCACTCGATCCGACGTGATGCATGTATAACGCGAC